ACAGACGGCGGCGGCCATTGCTACTTCCGTAAACAGAGCGCTGCTGAGTGACGTAAGCGTTCTTCTTCTGCGCATGCGGGTCGCCGTGTGGTTGCGGGTAGACCGGAACGAACATGCAGAAAAACAAAAACAAACAAAAATCATATTTTGTCTAAAAAAGACAAAAAGAATTTAAAAGAATATAAAACAAGAATTGAGCATCAGGCGCTGCTGTGGGAATGTAGCCCTCCTCTGTTCACATAACCTTTTGTTTTTATTCCAAATGTTCAGGTTTAGTCTCATTTGACCAAAGCATCATCTACTAAATGTTTATGTGACTTCATGGGTGCGTTCACACTGCAGCCTGAAGTGACTCAGTTCCGATTTTTTTGACGTAATGTGACCTGTATCCGATCTTTTCATGGCAGTGTGAACAGCACAGGTAAGATTCTTTTTCGAATGTGACCCATATCCGACACGTATCCGATTCAAATGCGACCTAACGTTCAGGTCGCATTCATCAGAACTGAACGTCTCTGTTTCTCAACAAATCTCAGTATTCTGCGTCCTGATAAGCGCAAGTGGGAAGAAAAACAACAACCATGACGGATTATATGAGGATTAAGTTGTTAATATGCTGCTCCGGTTGGACAACAACTTCAAACATGTAAGCTAAGCTCCACCGTTAGCCTCCATGTTTACTTCCGCAAACACTGAGCACTTCTTCTTTTCATGGCAGTTGGCAGAACACTGAGAACGCTGACGCTATTGCGCCCTCTACTGCGCATGCGGGACACTTTCAGGTCGTTTGCCCATTCACACTGCAGAATGCATACAGGTTGCATTTACTGGCAGTGTGAACGGCCTGGGAAAAAAATCGGAATTGCCAAAAAATCAGAATTGGGTCACTTCAGGCTGCAGTGTGAACGCACCCCATGTGGCTTTATGTGACTCAATACAGAAAGACATATTAAAGTTTGTCTTTTCAATGTGGCAAAAAGTGAAAGTTTTTCCAGACGCTGTAAGTCCACCTGGATGTGCATAACAATAAGAGTTTTCCTCGTGTCTAACAACCTTCCCCCCTGTTAAGTTTCCACATTAAGCAACATCAAAGGCCCGGCGGTGAAGATTGGGGCTGAAATCAGGCCTGGAAACACAATTACTTTCAAAAGCATGTCATCAGTCTTCAAAGCAGAACACAAGTATTGAAAGCTAACCCATAAGCTATCATAGATATCCCATTATGTTTTCTTTATAGTGCCGGAGCTTCAAACGGCCGACAGGCTTTCCATCACAGCTCACACTGAAAATACCGCATAGAAAAATCATCAGTAATGAAACAGGACACAGACATGAAGTTCCCACTTATTAAAGGTAGTGAACGTTTTATGTTCATCTGCAGAGAGGATATTTGGTAATTTATATTTATACGTCTTTAAATTTATTTTCACACATTTTACAGAAACTAGATGTTCATATTTCATATTTCTTCACCATTTTAAAACGTTTCCAAGTTAGAAGGAAATAAAAATACACTTTATTGTCCCACAATCTGAAAACTGAAGTGTAGCAGCAGAAAGTTTCAGCCAATGAAGGCATGTAGGTTCACATAAAGATGAAAGAGTAAAATTATACAAAAAAAGAATAATATACTGTAGGGGCAAAATCAGAACATAAAATACTGGGTGCATTAGAGCTCAATCCAAGCAATGAAGTATAAGGAGTCACCTGTGCAAAGAAATTACGTTATACTTTAGATTTAAAAATGTTTATCTGCTACTTTTCTCCATAATCCATGACACTACTTATCGAAGATTAAATTGATGCTCCACAGTTAAAACACAAAATTAGTTATTTCCAGGTAAAAAAACATGAATTAGAGCAACATAACTGTAAAATCTGTAAGATTAAATGAATAGGAATAGACAATATCATGAGAGAAATATTTAAAATATTGAAAGAAAATGTTGCACATTTTCACAACCAAAGCTACAAGGAAACAGTACAAACAGTGAGATTCTGCACAGTCCAATTTAATAAAAATATACATTTCAAATTTATCTGTGAATGTTGTAATTTAGGCAGTTTCATTCCAATATCATGCAAAATAAACAGTAAGATTACCCTTGTAGGAAGTAAAGTCTAGTAAAATTTACGGTTCAGAGAAAGATTTGAAGTAATTCAGAGGAAATGGCAGCTTAACTGCTCCGACATCCTGACCCTCCACAAGGCTTCACATTTTCCTCCTCATGTTTTAAAAGCAAACCTGTCGGCTGTGGTGGCTTCCCTTCGGCTGAAGAAGCAAACATTTCATAAAAAAGAGAAATCTCACGAGGAACTAGAAAAGCTAAAATGCAGCACAGGACCTAATTTCCTGCAGGAGACAAATGTTTGCTGAAAACCAGAGAAAATGATGTAAACAATCCAAGGAAGGAGAAGAAAATAAATCAGAATCAATCAACATGTCTATAAAGAAAATAAAATAAAATCATTTAGGGAATGAAATAATCTACAGAAAACAAACTTCAGGAACTTGAATATTTATCTGCATACAAGATAAAAGTTAAACCCTGATTGTTTTCGTCTGATTAGAAACGATGATAAATTAATTCTGATGCTCCTCTAATTCTAATCAGAAATATCACAGCTTGTAAAATTATCCTCAATCAGGCAGCGATAGACTGGAAGACATAAGAATCAGTTTAATTACAGGTCTGTTACAATAAGCTCATGCTTTTATTTTAAAATAATAATTTTTTTTTACCTTTTATTGTCTTTCTATTTGGTAAGAACTTAAGAAGAGAAACATTTAATGAACATGGACAGAAGAACAGATTTCAGTCATTTTGTTTGGCTGAACATCCAAAGTGGAAATGAGGAAGTGTGTTAGCTTCTGCAGTAAGGCAGTTTTTCCTCTGTGCATTAACAGATGTTAAAGTATATTTGGTGTTTGACTTATTAAAATAGACAATTATAAATGTTTTAGAGGAGATCTCATGTATTTGTCAATGTATTTATATGGCACATAAAAACAACAGACATTGATTAAAATGCTGTACAATTCAATTAAATAAACAAGGCAACAATGAAAACAACACAAATATATATTTTAGGATGTTTTCAAACCTGACAGACTCGGTTGAATTGAGAACCAAATTTGTTCCGTCTCCAGCTCTTTGTCTCTGCTCTGCGTCAAACCCGCCAAACCGTTAGAGCAACGTTCCCCTCCTGGCCTGTGGGGGCGCTGCACAGGAAAAGACACAAAAACCTCTGCAGAACAATCTGAGCGCAACTTCCTTCTTCACCAAATGGAAACAAAATGAAGTCAGATGTTAATGGTTGGAAGATTTCTCTGGTTTTTGGTAGAAGACCACGAACCATTTCTCCTGCTAGCGATAGAGGTTTGTTGTTGTGTTTACCCAGAATGCCCTGCGCTGTAGTCCACTTCCTGCTTTTGGAGCAGTCTCCGGTCCGGATGGCGTTCACATTCAAACCGCAGCAGAATTCACTTCAACCAAACAGAGACAGAGGTTTATAGGACCAGAGTTCGCTCTTTTAATCTGGATCAGAGTTTGGTTACTCATCAATCGAACTGGAGTTGGATTAAAGTGGACTAAAACAAAACACAAACATGCTCCATATAAAAATATCCATTTCCCCCACTGGCTTCCTGATCTTTGCTTTCTGTGAAGCCCTGCAGTGAGGCTCCCTTATTGTCGGTGTTCATTTGTGAGAGGAAAAACTTCACCTCTGGAAACATCTTTAGGGAATATTCCAGATGTGTACTGACATTAACTAGATAAATAATCACGCCTGACACGTTGTTGTCATACATTTGCTCTTTTCATACTGCAAACAGATTGACGGCACGCCACTTTACCTTCCTGAGCCTGGAAGCTGACACTGATCCAACCTAAATATCCCAGCAGCAGGATGAGTCAGGAAGTCCGGTAAGATGTACAAACTCAGGACTTTCAGCAGAAAGCCAAGAGCTCTGCCTGCGGACACAAATCTGACTGATTTGCAGGAGTCTGCTGAGGAAAGCCTGGCCCTCTCCTGAGTAATGAGCGTCCAGCAGCGTAAACGCTGCGTCAGATCTCTTTCCGATGACTTTGTCACGTTTGGGGATGAATATTTAGGCGCGGCTCTGCGCTGCCACCCACAGCAGAGAAAATCCTGGGGTCAGCAAACCGCGCGGCTGCGTGCTCGACACAGAAGATTAGCTTTGACAGTGTTTTCCACTGATTGTAATGAAAACAAATTAGCCAGTGTGGAGAGCGGGGCTGTTAATGCTCGGCCCCATGAGGGCGGTAAACGGCCTCGCACAGCAGAGCATGACTAACCTAATTAAAGCTGCTACACAAGTGGATAAATGTGAAGTTTCTCTACCAGCGATCAATACTCCGACTGTCCGCAGCTCAATCAATCAATATATCAATTTACTTTAAACTCATAGATAACCTACTCAGTCCAAACTGATTGCTTCAGGGTTGCTGCAGTCTGGAAATACATGGAAAAGTGTTTCCATGTACTGAAATATGAATTTGGATTTTAAAACTTTATCTGGGCGTCTAAAGTTTCTCTCCATTTATTTTTCGACCTTCTTATTTCTTTCTAGATTGAAATATTTTCCATTAATTCAGTGTGAACTTCTGTGTTCAGACTTAAATTGTTATAAGATTATGGAAAAGCATATAATTGACATAAAAAAAAGTCAACCCAAGCATTTAGTTTGTTCAGATGAGAAATGCTTTATTAAGGACCAATTTTGATTAGATTTTAATGCAATTAATCAATATTTTTCTTTTTAGATACAAAAGTAACAAGCTGGAACCTTTGTGTTGTGTTTCTGGTACGCCTGTAAATCCGACGCACAACTGACATCCGCTAACAACAGCGATGGATAAAGTCGCTTCTCTCGGCCCTCTGCGGGTTAATTTCTGCTGCTAAACGATCTGATTGGATGCTGGAAGAACTATTGTTCAAGTTGTGCTAAAAGGAGTTAGCCTAGCAGTGAAGCTATTTAAGTCTAAAGTAGCATCTCAATGCTAAACATAGCTAACGCTAATGTCAGCGTGCACAGTCCAA